ATTGTACATGATTTGGTAGAGGATCCTTGTATCTGAAGGTAGAATGCAGTTTACAAATGCAAAATTTTTCTTTAGGAGATGGTGCCGGTCACGCAGCGAGGAGTGCTGTTGATACAATGGCAGTATTTACCTACACTAAAGGTTTTTATATTATTTGCGATATTTGTAATGGCAAACTGCAGATACTTGGGGCAAATGGGGAGATTCTGACTTGTGAAGGCGTGTTTTCTAAAGATAATTAAGTTACAATGTAAACTAAAGTATGTGGCATCAAGTGCTTATTGGTTTATTAATGTTTCCTGTTCACTGATCCCAAATGCTGTTCTTGGAACTGTTCAAACAGCTGATCTACATTCCAGTTAGATAAACAGGCTGCTAAAGCCACAGTTGTGCACAATTCTATAAACTTTAATAAAACAGACTAATTTAAATATATGCCTCTCAGGGAGACTCCTCCTAAATCCCAGTTATGTTTTGCTTTTTAACTCCTTTGTTCCTGTTCTTCAATCTCCCCTAGAACCTTAGTCCTTCCTAACAAGTGCAAAGCTTTCAACCGTACTCAGTTAATATGGGAGTCAGGGAAAGGACAACATCTACAGAGAGGACTGAGTGAGAGTATTTTATGCCATGCAACTCAGCATATAGTCCAGAGCCTGCAGTGACAGCTCTCTGTTAAGGGGTGTCTTCTGACTAGAGTGCCAAGCGTACTGTTATTGCCAACAAGTAAGCGATAGTAATCATGGTACAGTAGTCCTTTTGGACTCCACCAGTGCCGCTCCTTAATCAGCTGCAGAGCTTGCTCAATGGCCATTTCTTTCCCTTCCTGGATCCTCAGGCTAATGACTGCACAGTAGTGGAAAATACTTCCAAAGTTACATTGCAACATAAGAAGAGAAAACTACTTTGTAACTTATGAATAAAAACCCCAACAAACTACCGCATGCAAACTCACCTTGGCTTCAGAATTGAAGTTTAATCACACAGCTGGAATTTCAGGAGTGAGTGAGAAGCATTGCACTCCCCAAACAGCAAGCCTTCAAGACAAGAGATACAGAGGTGATGTGAGCAATCGATGCTTCCTGTCTCTGAAATGGCTGCAGGGACTGTGGCCTGTCATGTTCTCAAATTATGCCCATTCTCCAGCACATAAATATCACCACAGTTTTAACCACACTGTGTTATTCCTCTCTGCATCAGCCAGCAGGCTGCAGGAAAGCGCGGTGTGTGAAAATGATGAGAAGGCAAACGAGCTGCTTGGCTATTGCAGCTCAGATTATCTTGTTCCCCAGCAGTCTTTCATAAACATCTGATAGGGAACATAGGAATTAGCCACAGGGAGGCTCTTATATTGGACTTCTCCAGACGAATGAACATCCTTTCTCACTCACCAAACTATGTTTTCTGGAAACCAGTAATGCTGCTTTTTGCACTTGAGTGAGATCCTGCAAGGTAGGTGGAGTGTTAAGAGTCATCATGATACCAGTGCTGGCACGATGCATGTGCCAAAGGGCTCCATGCTTCAGAAGGCCTTACATCAAGGCTGTGTTGGTTTTTTTCAATAGCTTATGGTAAATACTGCGTATTTTGTAGACATTCAGATGTTTATGGAACTTAAAAGACTTAATTTGTTTTCTGTATTCAGAATTGAAAATGTCTGAAGACATATGCGATGGCAGCCCATCTGAAGAAAAATCTGAAGTAATGGAAGTGCCCAGCAATGAGGTATTGCCTCACGAGTCAGTGCCATGCCTCGTGGAAGCTGAGGTCTTGCACGAGTCTTCACAAGATGAACGTGGACAAGCCACTGAGAGTCCCAGGGATAGACAGGAAGGAGACGTATTTATTAATGAAAACCCTTTGACTGAAAAAATAATTGAAAGTTTGCCTTCCAATGGAGAGGCGACTGAAGACATGCCCACAGAGTGCAATGAAACCGTAAGCCTTGATACAGAACCTGAATCTGAAGAAACACTGCATGAACAAAACAGTCCAGTAAGTAATACTTTTTTTTTTTTCCTTTTCCATAAAAGCCCTCCTCTCTCTGTTTTTTAAAGACAGAATTTTGTACAATGTACATACTGTTTCTCACAAAAGGCTAGGGAGTTACGTACAGAAAACCTGCATGGGAATAAAATAAATTCCAACACCAAGATTTTGGAAATTAGAAATAGTTGAATTTCTCTTTACTAGTATGATATTAATATGTTCTTTCTAGCCTGGTTGCAAGAAAACTATACCAGCACTTATTAAGAATCTATGCAAAATTGACTAGAATACTTGTGTGAATTTGGTATCTGGCTTTCTGTACAAGCCTGCTTCATCCAGTTCACAGAATGAACCTAGAAGAGGACAGAGTTAAGCTGCATATGCAGTGCTGAGTCTGGATTTGCTAACTCAAGTCATTGTCTTTACAAAACAAGTATATGTTTCACAAAGCTCACTGAAATGGCCAGTAGTTTTTGTTTTATTCTAGGTCAGTAGTTTTTAGTTTGTGATCCGCAGACTTTTGGGAGTCTTGTGAGTAACTGCAGGAAGTTAATAAAAGAAAACCAAGAAGAACAAGGCTTTTTCATGGCCTATACAGCATCCAAATCCAATGCACATGACATAGCTGAAGATGTTCTGCTCTACACTGAAAAAATTTCGGGCATCCCCAACTTAGAAAAGGTTAAAACACGTCATTTCAGTCCCTCCACCAGTGATCCACTCCCCAGGTATCTGTACACTGCGCAGTGCAGAGCTGTCTTGCTTAATACCACAGGTGGGCAGCAGCTCCTCTGTCTGTGTTTCTATTGAGCTCAGTTCTTAGGTGTTCCCTGTGCACATCCATACTGGCTTACACCTCCAGGGAGACTCAGGCAGAGAAGCCTGTTAAGTCTGGCTCCCAGTAGAGCTCAAGAAGGAGATGCCTCTCCCTAATAATAGCCCTAGTAAACTATTATGGCTTTATAGGATCTGAAGAATCATAGAATCATAGAATGGCCTAGGCTGGAAGGGACCTTAGAGATCATTTAATCCAACCTCCCTGTCATGGGCAGGGACGCCTCTCAACTAGATCAGGCAACACATGGGGACCAAACGGGTATCGAACCCGTGAGTAAGACATCTGTGAAGAAATCTCTGGAGTTTTAGGCACTTTCAGCAATAGGTGATCTGAACTAAGCTCCCTGTTCTGCTTGCTTGTGCACAGAAACTTGAGCTCTGCATAATACCCTGTCTATCATCATTTATTAAAAGCCTGGCCTTATTGCCTCTCAGGTTCTTTGTGTTTTCTTCTGCCTTTGGAAAACATGGATTTTAGACAGTGGACTAATATTTTTGTTTTTACAGACTGCAGACTCCTCATCTAAATCAAGTAGATGGGGAGCTTGGGGTACCTGGGGAAAGTCTCTCCTGTCATCAGCTTCTGCCACAGTGGGTAAGTGTTCAGCCAATAAAGTACATGGATAGAAATTGTAGTTTTAATGTTAGTTAGAAAAATTATGTGCATTAAAGTGATTTTACTGTTGATCAGTTGGAATTGTAATGCTGATAAACTCTTCAGTTAATTTTTATAGTTGCAGCAGTAGGTTTCTTTCAGGTCATTCATTTTTTGCCTGCAAGATAGCTATATTTATATTCAGTTTAGCTTATGCAATAAATAGCATTCTATCAAATAGATATTCTAATGTTGTTTGTAACAAAATTATTTGTTACCAGTTACTGTTCTTACAGGCTTGCGATGGCAGTGTCACAGTCTTCTCTTACCTAGAATCCTTGTCCTCACTGAGTTTAGTGTCATAGAGTACGTACATTTTGTGGGGGGCAGCTATTTTTTTGCCCAGCTGACATGAGCTTGCCTGAAAATGATGAATGCTGTTGGAAAAAGTTTGGGAGATAAACAAGATTGTGTGTTGTATCCCTTCTTACTGTCTGATAAGAAAACAAGACATACCTTTTTACAGCTGTTTGTTGCTTTTGTCTTAAAACCTGCTCCCAGCATTGTATCCCTCTGGATTTCCTTGGAGTTTTTAATGATATGATCTCATTTTTGTATAGGCCATGTAACATCTTGGTTCGTATACATTAAAAAATCCATGCTTAATTGATACCGGCTTCTTAACATACCATCTGACTATATCTGCATCATAACTATCTTTGTAGAGTGTAAATATGCAAAGAAGTTTATTGTCTAGGCAGCCTGACTTGATAAGGTTGTGTGATGCTGTCTATTTTAAATAGGCGTCTCACCACCATGCAGATATATATTTTTAGGATTATTATTTGAAAATGAGCACAGCTGGAACAGGTCAAGTTGCCTAAGTAAAGGACTATCCACGTGCAGAAGAAGGAAGAAGAAAATTTAAAAATCATTTTAGTTTTATGTGATAATGATTTTACCATGTCACACTACTTACCAAGTCCCATCTACTATCTAGTTTCTGACAGTGACCAAGAACAACTGGGAAAGAGCCTAAACCCAGATGTATGTAAAGCAGCACTTCCCTTGTTTTCTCTTCCTATTCCTTGGAATCTACAACTTAGACAGACTTCATGACCCTGGGATCAGGGTAGGGTTGAGTTCCCATATTACTGCCTAATAATTTTGGATCTAATTTTTCTCTGTGAATTTATTAAATAAAATAGACTTTGAATTAAGCAGAAATCAACTGTACATTCTTTCATGTTCGCTGAACACAATAACCTGGAAGGCCACATACATAATCTTAGATTTGTTCCAGGAAATCAATGCAGCAGGTGATAGTTTGTATTCCTGATATAGAGGGATTATTTCCTAGTTGTTATGGGAATTCATGCTTGATCCTGTGAAGCATTTACTGTCTGTTGTTGTCATAGACAGGATGTGGGACTATGTATATGAGATCTCTGCCTCAGTATGACAATTCCTAGTGAGAGACAGATTAAAAAAATAAAGCTACTGGGAATTTCTATAAGCTTTCTTCTTTCTACTAAGTATTCATTATTCCCCTTCAAGTTACTTCATTTATTATCTGAGCAGTTCAACGAACGCTTCATCTCCTGTTCTTCATCAGAAAATAGGTTTGCCATCATCCAGTCCATTTTAATGTTGCTTATTCCTTCAGTGTAGCAAATTCTATAAGTAAAGCTGCTTTCTTGGAATTAGACTTATCGGCAACACCTTCGATATGTGATTTTTCTGTTGCTCGTGTTATCTTTGATTGACACAACTGCTTGTGTGGTTGAGTATGACAAATACTCACTATTCCTTGTGTTTTTCTTCAAAAATGTATTCTATAAAAGTGGCAGAAACGATCTGAGGTGGACTAGATAACATCTTCTTAAAGACCTAACCAAATACATTCAGCTTTTAACAAATTGTATCATAGAAGAGCCCAGATTGGAGGGGACCTTGAAAGATAGTTTAGTCCAGCCTTTTGTGGGAAAAGGGTGCCTAGATGATATTGTCTAGCACCTTGTCCAGTCACATATGGAATATCTCCAGCAACAGGAACTTTACCGTGTCCCCGGGGGGTGTTGGTCCAGTGAATGATCATTCTTACTGTAAAAAAATTGTTTCTTACATTCCTTTCTCTTAAGACTCCTAAGATTGAGCTGAAATGGTTGTTCCAAGTATCTCAGTTTCCTTAACCTTCAGACCCTTATGTAGAGCTCCCAAACAGATTAGCATTTTTACTGCATGGCTATCATTTGTTTAGCATAGCTGATTTTCTAATAGTAAGGTAGTTTCTTTATAACTTGTATCTTCTCTCTCTCTAACTTCGCACATATAGCAAGTGATTGGTTTGGTGATGGTTTTGTATTATGAAGAAAATGTCTGTTGTCTTTAAACTGATTTTGACATTTGGATCAAGGTCTCAGCCACAGGGCTGATGTGGTACCCCTCTACACAGCAGAGTCTGTAATGCCTTTGGGTTAGTAGCAGTCACTGCCTGAATCATACTTAGTGCCTGACACTAGATGTCACACTAGGAAAGTTATTGAATCTGCCTTATTAATGAGGTGAAGAGTTTTCTTTTGTTTTTAAAAGGTACAAGAGGTTTGTCTTCCCCCGTTGTTGAACCACAGTGGAGCAGATACTCTAAAATAGTTGCTGGGATGACGAGATGGGGGAAGTAGGCTTACTGTGATCTGGAGGTACAACTTGTAGTTATTGTCACCAGTTAGCCTCTTGCTTTTAAATTGTTTTGTTTTTTTTTTAGTAAATGAGCAATTACACCATCCACTCTTCTAGTAACAGTGTTGGTGAAACTCCCTTCTGACAGTGGGTTACCATTGCAGCTAAGCCAGTTTAATGGCTACCAGCCACTGAAATGGGCAGTCCTGCACCTCTCTTTTTCTTGCATGTTGCTCCTCCTCCCTGTGCCAGCACGCCTGCTGCTCTGACATTCCAGTAATCCAGCTCAGGAAACTAAACTGACATAAGAGTAATTCTAGAGGAACCAACTCACTGAGGTAAATGCCAGGGGAAGTAGAAGGGATAAATACGGAACATAGAAGTAGCAGAGCCTCCCATACCAGCACCAAGAAGCCATTAGGTCAGCTTAGCTGTAACAGGAAATGGTCTATCCTCAGGGCTTAAGAGAGGCAAAATATATTCCCAGTCTGCACTTGAAGCTTGTGACTTCTGATTTTAATAATGACTTGTATGATTGAAAGCTTGCCTGTTTTGGTTTTTTCCCACCTAAGCTATCTGCTAGCTTAATGGAAGTTACTACCATCTCCTACAAGCCTTGCCTTTCGTATGTTGTGTTGTTTTGTATGAATGAGTTATGGCATTCATAAGGTGCTTAAGTTATGGTGCTCAACAGATGTTAGATCTGTTAGATTAACAGATCTTAGCTCAACAGATTCCTAAAGAGAATGGTTTGGATTTCAGATGTGCTGAATTTCCCTCCGGAGGTGTCTGTTGGCCTCTTTCAGCTTTACAGGGAATCCAAAGCTGCTAAACTGGGAGGTGGAAGATAAGGGAACCTAAAGAGAAGTGGAACGTACATGACTAAAGGGTTTGTGTACATTCTGATCTGGCCTTGAGCAGTTCAGACAAGCTCAGAGGCAGGCCACATTTTTAGGCACTGCTTGCAAAACTATCCTTTTCAAATGAAAGATTCCAGCTAGCAACATGAATAACAGTATTTTGCTGAAACTGTCAGCCAACAGAAAGAAATCGTGTAGGCAAGAAAAACAGAAGCAACAAGAGAGGGGAAAAAAGCGTGCTTTCTCAAAAAAAGGGCCCACTGAATACCTCAGCTGTCTCCATTGGTACAGATGTGTAAATGGAGGCATCAGAGGTGTTCCTGTGTTTACAACGTCAGCTCAGTTGTGTTACCACACCCAGTGTGACAAGCCCAGTGGACTTTTATTTCTGAAATGGAGGCTCATCTCCCATAACCTCTTTTTATTTCCATGCCTTTTGAAATTACTTTTTTTTTTTTTATATCCCAGAGCATCACGCGCTTCTACTATGTTTGTGCATGTATGTGTATCTAACAGTGCTGACTTGGTTCAGTTGTGGTCTTCTGATCTCTGATTTTGTTGTTGTAGTCAAACATATGCGCCATACAGCTTAGTTCAGCAAAATTACTCCTAGTTGACCTGAAATATTTTCTTATCATTCTAATGTGTGTAACCACAGCCCTGAAAATGCTGCTTTTTGTAAGTCTATAAATACCAATACAGCAGCTGTGTGCCTCCTTTTCTTGGAAATTATAAGCTTGTCTGCAAAACTGTGAGAACCAAGTTAAAAAATATAAAAAAAACCCCAAACTTGTTTAGATACAGAAAAAAAGGGGAAATTAATCTGAAAATCCATAATTTTTGCACAAAGTTAAAGTTTTTGCTTAATGTTGATAGTTAATCTTTTGTATAATTACAGGACAATAATATTTTGTTAGCAAGTTAAGTCCTTAAGAAAACCCAAGTCAGTGGAAGAAATAGAACCCTTTTACTCATTTAAAAGTTGTGATCATTACTTAAATCACAAGTACCAGCAATCACATAAATCACTGTGGTGTATAATCTGGTATGTCCTGTACAGTCGGAGATACTGCTACATTTTGTAAGGCACGACATAAAATAAACAAAAGTCTTACTTTCTTTAGACAGGTAAAAGCATTTATCTGACTAGTCTCTCCGTTTCAGTGTAAACCCTCAGGACCCCGTGCAGCTTACGCTGTCATACAGTAAAATTAGTTGTTTCTACTCATCGGTTCATGTTCTTTGTGTTTACTTGCAGATACTCGAGTTTTCTTGTATGCAATCTTTCAGTAGTGCTGCTTCACAGAAGTTTTTTAGAGTGAATTTATAACCGATTTCATAGAGCGCCTGCTGTGCAACCCATCTGGAAAGAATAGAATCATAAATCTAAACTTTCCTTCTTCCTACTCCATTTCATATAGTTCAGAACGCTGCAGAGCACTGGCAAATCATATTTTGCTGCAGTTAATATAACTCAGAAAAGATGCTTGGACTTTTCTAGTAGAAAGTGCACACAATTTTGGATAAGCGTGGACAACATTTAATGAATGGTTACATTTGACTGTGTGCCCTAGATGTCTAGGTATCTGCCTGAGCATCTGTGGTAATGCCTTTTCTGAAATAAGTTGGGGAGGGACTGTTTACAAGGGCATGTAGTGACAGGATGAGGGACAATAGTTTTAAACTAGAGCAGGGTAGACTTAGATTAGATGTTAGGAAGAAGTTCTTTACTATGCGGGGGGTGAAACACTGGCACAGGTTGCCCAGAGAGGTGCTGGAGGCCCCATCTCTGGAAGCATTCAAGGTCAGGCTTGATGGGGCTCTGAGCAACCTGATCTAGTTAAAAATGTCCCCGCTCACTGCAGGGGGAGTGGATTAGATGACCTTTAAAGGTCTTTTCCAGCCCAACGCGTTCTATGATTCTAAGTTATCTATTTACAGTTCAGTTTCAGGTAACAAAGCAAAGAAGTATGGAATTCTGATTACTACTTCTCATAAGTAGTAGTTAAAGCACTCTGTACTGTCCTACTGCTACAAGTGATTAGCTTTACATGAGATGCAGTAACGGTGTACTGTACAAGAAAAAATCAAATAGGATCGCTGAAGCCATTTCATTTTGTGCTGGAAAGAAATATTGCTCACCAGGTTGGTTGGTTGGTTATTTATTGTCTCAGTTGATGCACAAAAACTTCCAACTAAGGAAGATGTGCGACCTGGATCATTTGTAATAAGAGAAGCATATACTTCTTGCGGAACATACTTGTGGATATAAGCAGAAGCAGAATGGGCAGACAGTTTAAGGGTAGCCTTTTTTAAGGGCAACATTCTTCATCTACAGCTGATACAGATTAGGAAGCTGCTGCCCCCTTTTGCTGACTACCAGGCAATCCCACCCTGCCCTATAGCTGGACATTACCAGTCCACAGGATCTGCTAGTGGAAATAAATTCCATGTGGACAAACAGCAAAGCAATCCTGTTCTGTGAAAATAATTCAGATAAAAACACTAATAACATATATTCCTTACATTGGACTAGACTATTTTAATAGAACAGAGAATTAGGGAGTCACTACATAAGCATCAGGAAAAGGTCATAAAATCTCGGTAGGAGATCAGCTGCCACTGGAACAATAATTCTGTCTGTCCAACACCGGCAAACCTTACACAGTATGTTGAAATAGCAGCTTTGAGGGGAAACCCTTTGGAATTTGACTTCAAATGAGCGGCTGAGCAGCTCAAATCCTGAAATAACTTTGAGGACCTGGTTCAGTATTCCTAAAATACCTAACATAGCACCTATGCAAGAGATTCCTTACCTCAGGCCCGCAGTCACTCACAGTCTATTAATTGTGAGTTAATTGTTCTAGACTCCTGAAAACTAGGTGAAGCCAAACCCTACAGCATTAGGAGGACCTGTTTAAACTGATTTAATAGAGTATTCAGCATTTTGAAAAACAGAAGACTAAACTTACGTGTGCTGCTGAAACAAGTTTTATATTTCAGATCCATTATCATTTGTATTAGATTTTAGTTTTATAATTTCTAGTCAGTTATTAATAGTGGAACAAGTGAATTACTAACCTACAAAAAATTAAGGAATTAAGGTAAGTCTAATAGTTTTTCTGATTGTCATCATTTGTGGAGTGTAAGAATACTATGCACTGTTAGTCTTCAGTTTTCAAATCAAATATAAAATATTCTTCTGCTGCAGGTCATGGGATAACAGCAGTAAAAGAAAAAGCAGGAACTACCCTAGGGATTCATAACACAAGTTCAGCATCTTCTGAAACAGCAGAGCCTCCTGCAGCAGAAACACCAGTTATACGTAAGTTCAAGTTCACTGAAATTGGATAAAACTCTTTGACACTGCAAAATTAGTCAAGTTTACAAAATTTTAGGATTTTGATAACAGAATCCAGTTTACTGTAATTTGTGACTTGTAAAGTTGGAAGTATGCTGTAACTTGTTTTTTTCCTTTTGTTGAAAGCAGAAAATTCTCTGGACCAAAGCTCTTCTGAGAATATTCCTTCTTCTCCTTCATCTGGATCTCGTGGCATGTTGTCAGCTATCACTAATGCTGTACAGAACACAGTGAGTCATTTTAGCTGGCCTCTCTGCTCTAGTTATTCATCATGTTTAGGTGCAGCTTCACTGTAGATCACATTTCTTAAGTTGTAGGTCTTTAAAAACAATTCTGTTATAAGTCTCTTTAGAGTTTTTAACATGGCAAAATAACTGTACCAAGTTAGAAAAAAAAGTCAAACACAACTATCTCATGACTTTTGCACCGGTTTCAGTGAAAAATATGGTCTTCTAAACTGTATAGAATTCTGCAAACCTAGAGAGGCTGCTACACCACAGTGATGAATGTCACCAAACAAAAAGAATAACTTAAAGTCTTTCTCAGTAAGTTGCCTGTGATGCCGTTTGAGACTTTGGTAGGGTTTTCCATTATATATCAGGTTACATCAGCATTGGAGTATCTGACAGATGCATAATCCAAATTGAAATGGAAATATTTAGCCATTGTAAATTCTTCTTCAATGTACATGAAAAATTGTGAGAGCTAATGTTAGTATGAGGACACAGGAAAGACAGTTCTAGAGTCATCAGCAGTGTCGAAATTTTAGAAATCAGTTAGGTAACACAGGGTCATCCTATTCATGGTGGACTTTGGCTCCGTATTACTCATATTTAAAATAAATTCCCAAGGACTAGATGCCACTTTGGATGAAATTAAGATGGTATTATTCTGTCAAATTGGCATTATTTGCGATAGGTGTTACTTTTTCTCTGATGTGAGTCTTTTAATTAAGTAACAATACTTGTATAGTACATTTTTTTCTTTCTGAAAATGTACTTAGAACAAAGTAAAATGATTTTGTAAATGTTTCAGTCCTATTGTTATTTAAAGCATAGAAAATCTAGGGACCTGAATGTTCAAAGATGGTGTCGGCAAAAGCAATAATCTTTACAGTTCGTATTAGCATAAAGTGGAAAGAAAATAACCACATGGTCTTACTTTATACAGGGGAAAAGTGTATTATCTGGAGGCTTAGATGCTTTGGAATTTATTGGGAAGACAACCATGAATGTCCTTGCAGAAAGCGATCCTGGATTTAAAAGAACCAAAACACTGATGGCAAGAACAGTTTCTCTATCTCAGGTTGGATTTATTTAAGTACAGCTTTGTCAACGCAGTTTCAGATTCTTTCTTCCAGAATTCCAAATGCCTCAGGGTGAGACTTTATTTATTACCGTAGGTACGAGCTAGGCTTATGGAAGTAAATACTATGCTTAATATTTGCTCCACTTTATTTTTCTTCACAGAACCACAAAAAATAATGTAATATCATCTTTTCTGCATAATCACATGTGCAATAGCTGATTTTAATGAGATAGATATGTGGTGATAAATCATTGCCCTCTGGAGACACAATCAAATTGTTGGTGTTTTTGTAAGAGCTGCAGATAGATATCTTGCAGCACAAACATCACTGTACTACTTTCCTTGGAAATGAATAATGCTGGAATATGATGTATGTTTCATTAGGAACTAAAGATGTGAAAAGTTATATATTAATGTCCATCAAAACTTAGCTTAAACAAACCCTTACACAGTTGTGACTCATGTTTAAAAGTTCAGAGACGTGATAAAAACAGAAGTGCTGTCAGTACAAAATTATTTTAGCTCTCCAGACACTGAGAGGTGGGAGGCTGTGGAAAGCAAGAGATACTGAAAAAAACCTTTAATTTTACTACATGTTCACTTCCTTGTAGAAAGGGGTGTTTTTCCTGTAATAAGATGTTTCATCTTTAGTGTTCATCATTTTAAGTGTGAACAGACCGTTACTGTTGTTGTAGGCCAAAAGCAAGTAACTCTTGCTAAGGTCCACAGGATTAAAAATGAGCATTTGAGAACACTTTCCTAAGCAATATGCATGAATTCACACATAAAATCTGAGGCAGAAAGTGACATAACTCAATTCTCACTTGTTGCATAACAGTGTTTCCTTTTTAGTGATTTGTACATAAACTTTCGTGAGTGATCTTTTGAAGGTGGAGACTGAAGAAATCTACGGTCTTTTGTAACAAATGAATAACTGAAGACAATATCATATAAATTTGGAATGATGGAATAGTGTAAGTGGCGAGAGTTCACCTGTGTTCAGAGGCTTATAAGAGACTTAAGATGCAGCTGAGATGTCTTTGCCAGCTTTACTGTATCAAATTCCTATGAGAGGCCATTCTTTCCTGGGAATAGAAGGAATAGAAGTTCCTATTCTATGCACTATTCTATCCTTACACACAAATAGAAGCGTAGAAAAAGAGCACTCCAAAATATCCCCAAGTGTATAGAGTGTAGTTCTGCTCTGCCTTTGGTAGAAGGAATAAGTTATTAGACCCATCTCTTTTGTTGGTTCTGCTGTCACATAGAACTGACTTTAGTATTTGCTAAAAATATTTTATAGGAAATGATTTTGTAGATGCATTATTTATGCAAGTCGGTAGGTCCTGAAAATAATATTCTTCCCGCTTCATGGTCTGTGGACTGGATTGCATGATTTTTTCAGGCTGTGTATGAAATAGTCCTTTTTCATTTCTCTTTCATTGTGATTGGTGGCTAAATTTATTATATGGTATCCGTAGCTGACATTGCTTTTGAGAACATAAGCAAGATTATTTGTTTATTCATTGTTTTGTAAAAAAAAAAGGTGGTTAGCACTTATCATTGGGAAAACCACACTTGGAATACTACTTTAAATATTTTATTAGAGAGGTTTATAAAAAAATGAAGTTAGAAATTTCAGCTCTAAAATTTCAGCTCTGCAGGTGTGATTATAGCCCCAGATTTTATTACTATTTCCTAGAGAAGCAGAAAGTAATAAAATCTGTCATACCTACAGCACCAGCAATAAAACAACAGGAGTGATGTATATTTTTGCAGCTGTTGCGTGAAGCTAAAGAAAAAGAGAAACAGAGGCGGGCCCAGCAAGTCACAGTTGAAAGAACAGCACATTATGGTTTACTGTTTGATGAATTCCAAGGTTTATCTCATCTTGAAGCTCTGGAAATCCTGTCAAATGAAAGTGAAGCTCAGGTACAGTATGCAGACAGCACAAGTCAAAATGCTTGGTAAAATTTGATCTTTACATTACTATCACTCTGCCAGGTGCATGTGGAATGAACAGTTAAGTTTTCCATCAACTTCTGGGAAGTCTGGCTTGGTCCCATGGGCCAGCCCTTGGCTTCAGGGAATCAGTCTCAGTACACCTTAAATTTAACTCCGTGTTTAACTCAAACCAATCAGCTTCAGAACTGAAAGTTATTTTTGTAGGGACCACATATAGTGAGTGTTTTTCAGATTGTGACACTGCAAGGAGGTTGAAGTCTTTGGTGTTTGCATCAGGCACTGATGCTTAAATTCAGGAATTCCAGGCCTACTGCACCTAGAGGCTGGTGATTTAAAAAAATAATTCCACATTACTTATTCAATTCCTAATCTTTCCAATTGTGTCCATTTTCAAAGTTACGTAGAACTCTACCCCAAGATATTATTGCTGGAAGTATACAGATGTCTCTCTGAAGAATATGCTAATATTACTAAAGCCTAATTAAAAGATATATTTTTAATAAATATAT